AGGACCTTCGAAGGGTGGATGTTGGTTGATTCGATCGAACCACTATAAAATCTAGTTTGCCTTTTCTTTATTTTATTGCTCTTACTTTTTTAGATTTGCATTCATGTAGTTTGGTTTACTTAATTGATCTAGGAAAAGCTGTGGCTAATTTTTTTTATTAAATCTTGGTTAAAAGTTAAAAAATAAAGTTATTTGTTTCATGTTTTCGGCTTGATATTTTTTTCTTAATTCTTAAGCAAATTACTTTGATTTGATTTTAAGTAAGAGAATTTTTAAAATACTAATTCACCCCTCTTTCTTAGTGCATCATAGTACTTCTGGAATGCTCATCTTTTAGTGTGCAATGCCTCATTTTCAAACATACAAAAATTTTCTTTAGTTTTGTATAATTATCATATAATTAATAAGTAAAAGAAATTAATTTATCATCTAAATACAAATAGACCAAATATTTGTCCATGTCACCTGAGCTATCCTTTGCAATTAAGAATATGTTTATGATCTTATTTTATGATTTATTCTTAGAAGATTCAAATCTAAATTGTCCCAGAAAGATAGATTTTTTACACTTTTCTAATCAATTTTCTCCTCACCTTTTCCTTTGATGGTTGATTTTCATATTCAGATACTCCCACTTTATATAATCATGTTATTTACATTCAAAGCAAAGCCTTCTCAGCTTGCTTAAAAATAATAAAAATTTAAAATGCTTAGTCATATGGGCTATGTCCTCATCTCCACCTCATTTAAAATTACTACTACCACAATCATCTATCATAAGTGCTATCACTTTCTCTTTCTTTTAGTCACCTATTTTAGCATACTTTTGCTAATTTTCTGCTCATAAGCTATTAGTAAACCATATAGTTGATCAATATAATATGAAGTTAAATATATTGACTCAATGCATGCCATCACCTTAGCATCCCAAGATTCAGGCAGACATCTTAAGATTTAATTAAGTTATTCTAACATTACTGAACTCTCTTCCTAAGGCATGCAATGAAGTAATAATTTTACAAAAATGTGAATGCATACAAAAAATTAATTTGTTTGCTTGCACAAAAAAAAATCTTAACCATGCAATAAAATCTACATGTAAGATTATTTTACTTCATTGTTTCACTTGAAAGTTATCAAAGTTCATCCCTAATGCCTTACTAGTAGTACAAGTTAAAACATGCATGTAGTCTTTAGATTTTGAAGTACAAAATAAAAATTGTACTCTTAGTATTCAATTGTGTAGACTCTTTCCTTCAAAGCTCTAGCTACTTAAAGAAAGTTATATTTTGATGCCATCATGTATCATATGGAGAGGTTTATAACTAACTAGTACTAAGTTACACTATTTATAGTCTATATATTGAATAATAGTAGCCATGCAGACCTTCCCAAAATCAAAATGAGATGTTTTCAAAAAGTGAAAGTTGCATAATTGATTACCCCTCCAATATGTTATGATTTTTAGAGTGTGCCACTATAAGATCTAATTAAGTTTTTAAAGCCTTCCAAGTTTGTGTCGTTTAAAATTTCTGATGCTATAGAAGTCCTTATAAATAAAAAAAACAAAAAGATTTTCATATTTAGACTAAAATAATAAAGTAACAATTAAAAATACAAAATTTCTTATTAAATAAGATCTCCAATGATGATATAAATAGCTACAATATTTTTATTTGATTTAAATATAATCTCCAAAAGTATTATCACAAATAAGCATATAAAAAAAGCAGCATGAAACAAAAAAATCAAAATTATAATGGTTCAGTCAAAATCACCAACATCCACTTTTCGAATTCTCAACTTTAAAATTCTACTTGCACTCTCTTTCCTTCTACTCCCAATAAGGTGGAAAACCCTTTCTCCTAATAGGGTAATGGAAAAACCGTTACTCCACTCCTTTCCTTGAAAAGCCTTGAAACCCTAGCCTCCTATGTTAGATTCAGAGTCTTTACATAAAAATTCTCCTGTGCTATTTCTCCTCTCGAAAAGCCTTAACACCCCACCTTTCTAGACTAGATCATGAGTATTTACACCAAGTGTCTCGAGAGTAATTCCCCAAGGTCCTTTGCAATAACCAAGAGTATCAAAATATATTGATTGGCTAGAATAATTATGGTGAACCACACACCCAAAATTTTTTGTACTCCACTAAAAGAATTTTATTCACTCCATCTGTCCTCTCCAATCCCTCTTAAGAAACTCTCATAAGCTCTAAAATTTTTTTAGAAAAAACTCTCTTAGTTTTGTAAAGTTTATCTATATAAGGTGGCTCCAAAAGAAACACCAAAAAGGATGTTTAATAAATTTGATGGCCCGAACATATAATGCGAACAAAGGATCAATATGATACTCTAAAATTCTTCGATCTTTGTATGATCCAAAACGTGCAGTGTGATTCAATTTGTTTTCTCTTGATATTAGTTAGGCTGGTTCAATTTAGGATTATATAGACAACTTCTTTGTTTGTTCGACTGAAACGATATGAATTATACATTACAAAATTTACCTTGATTAGACACTTTATTTTCTAACCTAAAATTGACAAATATCTTAAATATTCATACAATACAAAGGCCATCATATAGTACATTAAGCTCAAATTTGAATTTACTTAATTTTGGTAAAAAAAAAAAAAAAAGATAGTAGCTAGGATTAATTTAAAATAGCAAATCATATAGGACCATATTCATCTGACAATATGACAAGTTAAAATAAAATTTTATTTTTATTTTATGTTAATTAATATATATATACCACTTGATTATAATTGTAGTTGCAAAATTTCATTCATATTTTACAGTATGATTTATATTTTACAATATGCTTACTATGAGAATCAAGTGTTTTAATCAACTTCAAAAAGTTTGCTTTTATTAATTTTGCACTCATGTTTGTACACCTATTATGTTCCTATGGAAATACAAGAAAACTAAAGAAAATGATAATAAAAAATTGACAAAATATTTTATTTTCTAAGATTTTCTTATCTTTGACAGCTTCACATTTTTAATTTAAGCTCAATCAAATCTCTTCCTGAGTCTCTTCCCTTGTTTACCTAATATCACTTAGCCCTTCATCTTTAGTTTTATTTGAAATATTAGTTTAAATGCTATTACCTACAGACTTATATATAACTGAAATTAACATAGCCAATAATATTTTTTTTATTACTGAAGAGCCAAAAATAAATCAGATGTAAGCGACTTTTATGAATTAAGTTAAATTATTCGGTTTTGAATTTAGTACACATCATTGAAGCCGATTGTACATTAAGATAAGTGTAGTACTGTACTGGAATCTATCAATGCTATCGCCCAACAGCATTTTCGCAGTACAAAGAGAAGTGCAATCAGCCAATTCGGTTAACTGAGTTTTCCTATCTATATAGATTGAGAAGAGAAGATGCGCTTTGGTTTAACCATAGAGCAAATACGTTTGAGATATTGAAGGAGAGAACGAAGAAATAACGAAGATGAGACTGTAAAAATGGCAGCTAAGGAGCTTCAACGGGAGCTGCCTGTGAGCACACGAGGCCCCAAATCTTGTTGATGGCAAAAAATCTATAGCAGACTATGAGTTTGCTTTAGTGTGTTCTCAGATTGCCCCCGTTGGGCCTCCTAGTCAGTCAGGAGAAATTATTACGTGCGGGTCTTGATTCATCTGGAGATCAATAAAAATGCGCCACGTCGCCTCAAAAATGTACCGTACTCGATATCGAGCGCTCGGTACCACTCGGTATTGAGCGCGGAACCGGACGGTTTTCCTGTCCGGTGTCCGCATAGAATAATCGCTGGCAGCTTCCCGGTATAGTTCTTCACCAATCAACCAGCGCAAATCATCTGATAGCTAATCGGTAAGTACAGATCTTATGTAAAATATAGTTGAGGATGAATAACATATTCCTGTCCTTCAGATTCATAGCTCAATGCTCGACTTTTGAAGCTCTTCTGAGCTAACTGAACTGGGTTATGCAATGATTTTATAGCTTTTGCAGATTTTTATTACATAAAGAATCCCAAAATAATAGCAGAGAATGTAGTGATTTCAAAAAAAGTATCTAAATAAATTCTGAATTAACAAAATAATGTATACCTTGTAGACCCAAAACTACTGCTCAGTATTAGAACCAACTTATTCAGTATGACACTTCCCTTTTCATGAAATGTTTTGAACAATAATATGAGTACAAAACTCAATAGACCAACCTTTCTCCATAACATAATTCAATTCACAACTTGTTATTTAAATGAGGAAGAACATAGAGAGTTTATATTTTTATTCTAACTTATAAAAGAATAGGGTATACACTATATAAAGCATGGTAACAAAAAAGTTGAAACTCACATGCTGCTATGAATGCACAAATGCACATGATTCAATGTTTGCTTATAACTCTTTTTTAGCCAACATCCATTTACTCTAAGCTTGGGGTGCAAATGAGTCGAGTTGAGCTCGAGCAAGGGGCTGTTCGAGTCGAGCTCAACTGCCAGATACCGAGTTCGAGCTCGAGCTCGAACTTGAGTCGATCTCAAAATCTGAGGTCGAGCTTGACTTGTCTCATGTCGAGCGGCTCGTTGAGCTCAATACGAGCTCAAAATGTCGTGATTCGACGGCCCGAGGTCCGTTGGGGTCGTGTTCTCTGTCGTATTGAGGTCCGCAGTTGTCGCGTCCGTTCTGAGTTCCTCCTTCGAGATCCGGTCCACCGCTGTCGAGATCTATCATCCCGAACACGTCCGTCTGCATCCCGAGCACATCCGTCTGTCGTCATCCTGAGCTCGTTCCCGCAAATCCCGCCCAGTTGAGCAGCTCATTGAGCTGACGAGTCAAGTCCAATGCTTGTTCGAGCTCGAGCTTGATAAGACTTCGAGCTCAAAACTGTGTTCGAGCTTGACTCGCGAGCTCGATTAGTTTGACTCATCGAGCATGTTACCGAGTCGAGTCTGATCGGCTCGCGAGTCGGCTTGACTCGGTTGCACCCCTACTTTAAGCAGGTGCAGTGTTAAAAAAAAGAAAAAAGAGCCAACTCATAATTCAGAACATAACAGAGTGGTATAGACTTTGCATTGGGCCCTAGTGTTGAATTCACTGTGCACTTTCCTTCATAATTGAGCTCTAGAATACCATGAAAGATACTACGATGCATATGTGATATATAATAAAGGAATTAAAATAGAGTGTTGTTAAGCCATCTAATTTTACAATAAATCATGCAAAATTTCAGATACCTACTCGAATATTCAAGGACATTGTTAATTTCACAAAGGTGTAAAATGTAATTTAACATATTTTGTCTATTACACCAACATTCTAAAATGGCACATTTATCTAGAATTTTAAGAAATTCATGTAGAGTAAACCAATGAGGAGAAATTTGTATTCGTATAGTCAATTTATTTATAATAGAGTGTAGTGTTATATTAAATATTACAATGGGAAACATTCCCCAAACTTTAGGAAAATATATTCTTATGCATATCCTTTTATTAAATCTTTATTTAATAAAATCTTTATATATTTTCTCTACATTGCTTATTAATTTTGGACTTTCACATTAAGTGACATAAGATAAAAAAATAAAGTAAATCATTGTTCTAGGATTAGATAGGGGCATTTAAAGAATATTCATAAAATTATTTTTGAGAGTAAGATTCTAGATCATTCTAGATCTTTATATTGATAGAGAGAGAATGTCCGGTTAGAGAGAGAATGTCCGGTTAGAGAGAGAATGTCCAGTTTTTTAGTGAGAGAAAATCATCGTTTTAATTTTGAACTTCTGCTTCGTAGCTATTCTACGGCTGGTGAAGATGGCCGTACATGAACGCCTGCAACTTCTAGCCTGCGGTGTTCAGCATTCCACATTCAACTCGAGTTCGTCCACCAAATCAAATGTTCAAAAAGTCGACAAGGTGAAGATGGATTATGTCGATCAAGTTGCTGGAAGACCTCAAAAAAATTTAGTTATTAGAGAAGGATTCAGACCTTCGTTGCGTAAAGAAGCTGTGGTAGAAGGCAAAGGAAAAAATTGTGATGAAAGTTCAACCAGATGCGGCAGTTTTTTCAAAACCAAAACCCGACTCTCTACAGAGTACAGGTAAAGATGCATCTTCTTCTTCAGGTTTGATTTTAAAGGTTAATAAGTTCATGGGTAATCATGAAGATGATGATCAAAATCAGATTAACCATAATTTATTGGATAAGTTTGAAAATGATGTGGATGTTAATGAGATAGTTGTTGGGAGCAATGAAGAGGCAACACCTAAAGACAATTTCATTTCTTCTTGGAAGAAACTGCAACACATCAAACTTAACTATAAGATGGAGTCAACACAGATGACTGAGGATGGAATTGTAGTAAAATTCAATTCTGATTTCGAGCGTGCTAATTCACAAGTTCTAAAGAATTTGCTTGTGATCAAAGTGCTAGGGAATAATAGTCCATCTCTTGTATGTAGCTTGGAGCTCCGAAGGCAATGGAGTAAGTTTGGGAATTTTCATTTAACAACACTTGGAGTTGATTGGATTCTTTGTTCTTTCAAAAGCTCTGAATCAACTGAGGAAGTTTTAAGTGGTGGACCTTGGTATATTGCAGATCAGATTATTGTTATGGATAAGTGGTCTACCTCATTCTCCCTGGAATCATTAAAGGTCTTACAGCGCCTGTTTGGATTCGGTTTTCTTTCTTATCATTGCATTATTTGGATGAGGAAAATACTTCTAGAATTACTTCAATGATTGGATTACCAATGTATCTAGATGGCAATTCTTTCAAATGGGGAAAAAGAGAATTTGTACAAGTATGTGTCTGAATTAATTTGGAAAATAAATTTCCAAAGGGAGTGTGGATAGAAGGACTACAAGGCAGATCATTTAAAAAAAGTGGAATATGAGAAGATTACTTCTCTTTGCTTCCATTGTGATAAAGTTGGTCATATTAGATCACTTTGCCCTGAAGATAAAGTTATGCATAAGGAGAAGATTGCTGTTTTGCCTAATGAAGTAAAGATGGCTGAGACTCGGGATAAAATTGAAGATTATCCAATGAAACAAGATGAATATGGCCCCTAGATCCATGTAAAGTTCAGGAATAAAAGATTCAAAAAGGTTAAAAAGAATGCAGAGACAATGATGCGAAGAAAGGCTGAATATCAACCAACTATCTCTGATGTTCAAAAATAGACTGAAGAATAGTAGGATATTTAAAAAGAATTGAGGGACAATGATTTGGTTTTTGAGTTTTATTCTAATACACAGAAAAAGTCTGATAATGATAGTTCTGGAAAGCTTCAGGTTCTTTTTTAAAAAATAACAAGATAATCAAGAACCTGATAATATAAATGTCATACAACAACACTAAATTATACCTGATGTTTGTTTAATGAATAAATATAACATTTTGATTGATGATCATGAAGAAGGTGAAGTTATTGAAGTTGTTGAAGTTGAAGTTATAAACAAAATTAAAGATGCTGCTATTTGTACTAATGTATTACATGAAGAAGCATGTGTTTCTACGGCAAAACCAACCAGTCCTTCTAGAAAAAAATTTGTTAATGGAGATCAACCAGATTATGAAAATGTTAGTACAAATTCATGTAAAAATAAACTGGTAAAAGAATTGAAGTCATTGGGTTATGTTGAGGCTGCTCATAGGAAGAGAAAAGGGGAGGTGAAATGTGGCAAGATAGGTGGGGACTCTTCCTCTATTGGTAATTAATGGCTTCCTTTGTGTTCTGGAATTGTAGGGGTGCTAGAAAGAGGGAGGCCTCTCTATATCTTAGAGAGATTGTGAAGGACCAGGAGTGGTTTTTTATTGGTCTTAATGAGACTAAGCTTTCTAGTATTGATAGGAGGGATGTTAATAGTCTTATTGGGAGTGACATGGATTTTTTTTCATCTTCCTGCTGAGGGAACCTCGGTGGGATTTTTGTTTTATGGAATAAGAATGTTGAGTTTTTTGAGGTAGTTGAACATTCTTCTCAAGTGGTTATTGGGGTTCTTAATATTCCTATGTTTGGTATTTGGAATGTGGCCACAGTTTAAGGTAACAAAGATTTTCATGTAAGGAGTATGTGGGAAATGCTTGAGAAGTTTTTGTTAGGTAGTAGACCTTCTATTGTTGGAGGTGATATCAATTGCATCAAACTAAAGATGACAAGAGAGGGGGCAATAGGTTCTTTTTTCCCTAGGGACCTAAAGAGAAGAAGCTTTTAATAACCAACAATGATTTTCATGATATAGGTTTTGTTGGACCAAGATTCACTTGGTGCAACAAAAAAGAAGGTGCCATAAGAATCTGGGAGAGATTAGATAGATGCTTGTTGATCTCTGAAGAATTTCAAAAGACACCTATGGAAAAGATTAGACATCAAGCAAGGGTGGCGTCTGACCATAGTCCTATTACTTTCAACTTGTTTGAGCCTCTATACAACCATTCTAAAATCATCTGATTTGAGGATACATGGAAATCATATCATGCAGCGTGGAATATTATGTTAAAGCCATGGAAGAAATCAAATTTTGGAAGTTATGTGTATGTCTTGCAAAGGAAGCTTAGAAGAATGCTGAAGTCCCTATTCTTTTGGTAAGAACAAGTGTAAAAGTTTGAACTTGTTGAAGAAAGAATTGAAAAAAGAATTTTGGAACTTCAATTGGAGGAAGCTGCAGAAGATGGTCTTACATTGGAAAAGCTGAACTTGCTTAGAAGTAAATTACATGAGATCAATGTTACTTTAGGAAGGTTATCTACTTTGTGGATTCAAAACTAAAGCTAGACGACATGAAGAGGGTGACACAAATTTCAAATTTTTCCATAATTTTGCTTCAGCAAAGAAAAATGGAAATCTTATAAGACAAATCAAAGATAAAAATAACAATTTGTTGGAGTTTGAGCACATTGAGGTAGTTTTTCATGATTTTTTTGTGAAAAAAATGGAAGGCTAGAGAATGCAAGCTGACGGGTTGGCCTGCATTTGCTAAAAACTAGAAATTATCTCAATCACTTGTTGATTTTATGAATGCAGAATTTATAAAGGAGTTAACCAATGCTATTTTTCAACAAGGTAATAATAAATCTCCCGGTTTGGATGGAATTACTATTTCATTTTTTAATTTTTATTGGAACATTGTGGAAGAAGTAACGTGGAAAGAAATTGATAGTTTTTTTAAAATGGATTTGATGCATGATGAGTGGAAAAATACATTGATTGTTTTAGTCCCCAAAATGAAAAAACCAATTGTTCCAGCTAATTACAGACCTATAAGTTTGTGTAAAACTACTTATAAGTTGGTGGCAACTATGATAGTGAATAGCTTGAAAGGATGAATCACAAAATAATTTCTGAAGAACAAGCAACATTCATTCCAGGGAGATCGATGTTTGAGCATTATTTGCTAGCTCGTGAGATCTTCAACAAATATAGAATCTCAAAATATAAGAAAGGCATGATGGAGGTCAAACTGGACATGGAGCAAGCTTACAATAGCATGGGATGGCCAACTTTCAATCAAGTTTTAAAATTATTTGTATTCCCTTTGATGATCTCCAAGCTAATCATGGAATGTGTTAGGAATGTCAGGTTTTTGTTTATTTTGAATGGGAAATTTTCTAATTGGATTAAGGCAGAAAGTGGTTTTCGCCAAGGATGCCCTCTATCTCCTTATTTTTTCATCACGTGTTCTCAATTATTATCAATTGCAATTGAACAAGGAGGACAAGAGTTTGGAGTTCAGATTTCTCCCACAGCTCAAAAGGTTACATATCTTTTATATGTCGACGATGTCTTAGTTTTTGCTCAATCTTCAAATAGATTAGCCTAATTGGTGAAGAATATTGTTGTTGAATTTTGTACATGGACAGGTTTGAAGGTAAACAATTCAAAATCTCAAATCTAATTCAGTTATTCTACCAAGCGTTCAAGTAAGAATCAAATTATGAGAAAAATTAGGTTTCAAGGTGGTTAAAGAGCTGACTACTTGGGTGTTAAAATTGTTTTGAGAAGATTGACAAGATCTGATTTTCAATGTGTGCTGGATCATGTTTTGCAAAAACTGAATGCTTGGGGAAGCAAATCTCTTTCAATGGCTGGTAAGATAATTCTTGTAAAGTCTTCTCTTCTATCACTACCAAACTTCTTATCAACACACTCCTTGGTTCCAAAGAAATTGTTGTATGAAGTGGATAAATGTTGCAAATATTTTATTTGGCATAAAAGTAATGGAAGGAAAGGGTTACATTATATATCATGGGACAAATTGTGTAAACCGAAATCTGTTGGAGGCCTGGGTTTGCATTTAGCTGCTCTTAGAGCTAGCTCTCTTAGATCGAGATTGGCTTGGAGATTTATTCAAAATCAAGATACTTTACTTCATAGAAATATTATTGCTAAGTAAGGTGATAATGTTTTGAATGGTGAAAGCAAGAAAGGAGTCTTCTACGGCATTGAAAATTCTGATACATGGTGGAAAATTTCTCAAACCTTTGTTAAGATGGAAAGTGGTAGATGGAAGGAGAATTAATGTTCTAAAAGACATATGGGTGTTAGATAAATGCTTGTGTACTTGGCCAACATTTGCTGATTGTGTAGGATTGGAAGATATAATGATTCATCAATTCATTTCAACAAATGGCAGTTGGAATGTGGAGGAGCTTCAATGGTTCTTTCACGAGGATCTTATTTCGTTAATCTTGCAAGTTCCTATCAATTATACCATTGAATCTGACCATGTGGAAGTTATATACCATCATACGGGAAGATCTATTGCTGCTCTTTCATATGAAGAGTCATTAAACCGTTGTTCTAAGGAGGGGAATTTGGATATTCAAATTGGTTAAGGAAGCATAAATTGAATCCTTGGGTGGAATTATTTTTGTGGAGGATGAGTAAGTTTTCAATCCCAACAAATGAGTTTCTTAAACATAGGAACTTAAGCCATAATGACGTATGTGCAAGAGGGTGTCAAGAAGCGGAGAGTTATGCTTATATTGCAAATTCTTGATTGAGATTTTTTTGAAGTTACGAGAATGGGGTTTTAACATTCTGAAATTTCAATCATTGGAAGAGTGCTTGCGAGAACTTAAAAGTCTTTCAATTTTTTCTTCTAATATGGTGAAGATGTATTTTACTATAGTTTTTATATCTTGGAAAAATAAAAATGAAGTAGTACACGGAAAGCCTAATCTTTCGAGCTCAGTAGTTGCAACAAATGTTTTATCTACAGCCATGATACATTCATATCCAATACTAGATAGTTGGGTGTTAATCTCCTTAGGGAGTTTAAAAATGTTTGGCACCTCCACCGCTAGGTTGGATTAAAATCAATGTGGATGCATCTCTTTTGGAATCAAACCTTGCTGGAATTGGAGGTGTATTTAGAGATCATGAAGGAAGATTATTACTTGCTTCTGGGGAAAAAAGAATTCATTGGGACGTGGCAGAACTTGAGATGGCGGTTGTTTTGGCTATAAGGAAATTCATTCAAAGTCTGATGATAGATAGCAAAGGAGTAATAATTGAAGGTGATAGCTTCAACATCATCAAGTTTATTCAAGATTCTTTGAGTAAAGCAAAGTGGCAAAACAACACTTGGAGCATAAAGGATTTATTGTTTTTAAATGATTTTAATAAGGTGATCTTCCACCATGTTCATAGACAGTTTAATAAAGTAGCTGATCCTTGTGCTACTTTGGATTTAGAGGATAATTTGTTTTTGGTAGTTTTTCTTTTAATGACATTCCTTCTTCTTTATGTAGTTTGTTAAAGAAGGAAAATGAATGTGAGCCTTTTTTAGCTTGTAATTAGTTCTTTTATTAATGCATTTTTGCAATTCTCAAAAAAAAAAAAAGATTTTATTTGTGCATGAGGAAGCAAATGTTATGTTGGAAAAAGTACCTAGTGATACTAAGAATGTTGCAAAAGGTGTGTATGAAGTATCAAAGGAAAAGACTACTAATAGTAAAAATATTTTGTGATGGAATCAAAATGTGCAAGAAAAGATAAAAAATAAGAAGATTTGTTATAAAAAGTGGCTATTGTAAAAATTCTTGTAGTTGGGAAAGATATAAAGAGGTCCGTAAGGAGTCTAAGAATGTAATTTTCAATGCAAAAATTTTAGCTTTTAATAATTTATATAATATATTAGATACTAATGATTGCGAAAGATATATATATAAGAAAAAATTAAAAGCCGAAGTATTTAACCTTTTTTAATGCCTAAAAAATTGTCACAAAAAAGGTGGGACCATTTCTTTCCTTTAAAAAGAGGAGTCCCAAAATATTTCAAAAGTAAAACCTTATGGGAAAAACCAAATTTATCATGAATAGTATTTATTCTTTGCTGAGAAATAGAGTTATCTGTTATAAAATAACTTTTATCCTTATTAATCATTAAACCACTAAACCTTTAAAAAGCATGCAAAAACATAAAAAGGATTCTAAGCATTCTAATGGAACAATTAGAGAAAATAATAAAGTCATCTAGAAAATTCAAATGATAAACAGGGAAACCCCCTAGGGTACGATACTACAAATTAGGATGCTTCCGATAAAGCTCACCAAGCCCCCTAGAAAGGCACTCCACCACAATAGTAAAAAAGGCTAGGAGACAAAGGGTCTCCTTGTCCAATACCTTGAGAAAATTTTAAATAGCCATGAAATATACCATTGATATTAACTGAAAAGAAGTAGTTACTAATATTCTTCTTGATAACCCTAATAAAAATATCATTAAAGCCAAATAAAGATAAAATCCTATAAAGGAAATCCCAATTAAGATTATCAAATGCTTTAGTAATATATATTTACAAAAAAAAAAGTACCACCAGAGTTAGTAGCATAACGATCATGAATAAGCTATCAACCAAGAAAAACATTGACAAAAATTGTGTGACCTTTAAAAAAAGTAGTTTTCCCAAGAAAAATGATTTTAGGTTAAAAAGTGGATAGTCTTCGCAAAAGTAACTTAGAAATAACTTTATTAAAGATAAAGAAAATGCTAAAAGGCCTAAAGTCATCCCAAAAATTAATACCTTCTTTTTTTAGGAGTCAAAGCAATGGTAGTAGAAATGAAAAACTTGGGATTTGGATTACCCTTAAAGAAAACCTATATAGCTTCTATTAAATCACGTTTAATGTTGGTCCAAGCTTTCTTAAAAAAATTGATAGTGAAACCATCCACACCAGCCATAGAGTAAGATTTCATATTTTTAAGGATAATCCAAATCTCATCCTCTAAAGGCTTCACATGTCGAAAACAAATTATCCTCCCCAAAAATTAAATAAGTAATAAAAGATTGATCCACATTCATATCATAAGTAAAATCTTTATTAAAAGCCTTTTGAAAATAGTCTATAGATGAAGCATGAATCAAATCACGCAACTCAATGGTGGGTCCATTTGGAATGCAATCTTTATGTATATACATAGAAACTATTTTATCATTAATAATATTATGAAAAAAATTTAGTATTCCTATCAACTTCAACCAAATACTGAGAAGAAGTTTGTTGTCTCCAAAAAATCTCCTCTTATTCATAATGTTTGAACAACAACAACTTACTTTCATTTAATAAAGAAAGGCTATCCCAAAAAGGTCATTAATGTTGTTGTCTCAACAATATCAACCTATTTTTCTGCATCCAAAATATTAGAAAAAAGCTCTTAATGACACATTTATTCGACCAATTTAATTTATGTTTAAGCCTTTTGAGTTTCAGCCACAATCTAACCATACCCCCAATACTATCATAAGGAAATAAAGCGGTCATTTTCCTTCTAAAACATTAAAAAAGGACTCATCCAAAAGCCATATATTTTGAAATCTAAAAGTAAGATGAATCGACATGTTATAAATAGAAATATTAAACAAAAGAGGTGAGTGGTTAGATAGAGTTCTAGTTAAATGGTTAATGTGAGTCATAGGATAAGAATAAATCCACAGATCATTGAACAAAATATGATCAAGCCTTTGCCACATGGTGGATTTGTTCCAAGTAAAAGCATTCCCAGAAAAACTAATGTCATGCAAATTACAGTCCAGCACCATGTTATTAAAATCTTTCATGGCATAAGAATTAGGAGGATTACCTCCCACTCTCACAGCCATATTGGATAGAGCAATAAAATAACCACCAACTATAAAGAAATTATCACATGGTGTTTTGAGTTCCCTCATTACCATCACATCCCACATCAAATGATAGAGAGGCATTTAAAGCATATGAATAAAAATAATCAATCATATTACCCCTAATTTGCTTATCATCCATGGGAACAACCGAATTAATTAATATAGGCTCATATTTCCCTTCATTATTCATATCCTTATATGGTCCTACTTCGAGGTAGTCTAATCAAAATACTTTGTATCCTTTTCATATTTTGGTTTATCTTGGTTTAGAGGAATGACTTCCATATCATCACCTACTATAAAGAAATTATCACCATTTAGGATCGACTGAACAAGAGTGCTCGGTCCCTGCTCATTTTTTTTACCTTTATTCATTCGAGCTTGCCCTTCTGAGGATTTTGATTATTTTTTTAGATGAGGGTGCATCCTAAAATAGAATTTAAGAGAGTTTCCATTAATTTTATAATGGTTACAAAAAAATGGAATATTCTAAAATTCAACTTTTTGTAAATATCCCATAATTTCAAAACCAAGCCAATTTTCCTTTTGATGTTTTTTTGGTTATATCCATTTCCACTAAGATATTATCTACTGAAGGCCTTGACCTGGATATAGTAGCCTGTTCTATTTGCAATTGTCTACTAAAATTTGAACCCAAATCTTGAAGAACATGAGTCTAAAAAAATGAAAGTGTAAATTTGGAAAAGTAATCCAAATAGGAATGATAGGTGTCTCTTCCTTAACATAAAAGAAAGTAACCCATTTTAGCACTCTCATTTAGAAATTATTAATATAATAGGATCACTTAGCAAACACACAATTATAATCCAAGTCATTAGATAATTGTATGGTGACATGTCTGCATCCAATAACTAACTAAAAATTACCAGAGAGCTTCAAGTTACTAAAAAAAGAGCATATGGAGTCAAGGTTAAGTCTTCACATCAAAAATTTTGCAACCAAAGTGAACTGAAAAGGAGACACTAATTTCAAAACATCTTCATCAAAGATCAAAACAACAGGAAAACCTTTCACAGAAGAAGAAACTTAAGAAAAGGATGGTTATTTTGAAGAAGAAACACTATGAACCACATCACAAAAAGGTTGGGAGCTAGAAGATATATCATTTCCATTCAGTCTAATGAAGCTGGATTTCTTTGTAATTGCACATTAAGGAGGAGAACCCCAAGGAATAACCTCAAATTCTCTACCAGCAATCACCATAAGTGAAAGATGAACACCACCTAAAGCTAATAGGCTCTAGGACCTGAAGGAAAATAGAACAAACAAAATAACAACTCATATTTACAAAAGAAAGAAAGGATTATATGAATGACTACAGGAAATCCCATGATTTCCAGAGCACCATAGATGAGGATGGAGGTGGAAGAAAAGGAGATGAAGGCTTTGGTGGGCTTAGGTATGCTTCCAAAAAGGATTTAGGGTTCATGGTTCAAAGGGTTATTTAATGGTCAAAGTGACAAATGGTGGTTAACTTATCCCATTCAAGGGTTTAATATGAGCTATGCATGATCATGAATGATTGTTCATTTCTAAAAAAAGATATCCATATATTAGCTTGGGTGACTCGATATGATTCATGCATATGAAAGGTTATGTTAAAAAAGGATCCATATGTCAAACTAGATCAACTTAAGTTGACCATGGTCAACATTGGACTCAAATTAGTTTAAATCAATATAAAGATGATTATGAACATGTTCAATAATTTTTTCAAGGCTTCCAAGGGTGTGTATACAAAGATGTCGTGTTTTGTGGCATATGATATAAATATATGATGATTTTATATGCTTGAAATATGCTTTGAGTTTTAGGATTTAGAAGTACACGGAGGCCTCTAAAATGGTCAGGTGGACTTTAGAGACATGTCTAATCAATATGTAATTGATCAAACGCCATTCTAGAGAATTTACCCAAAATTTAGAATCAATTGGAAGAGACTTTACCCAAAATTTAGACTCAATTGGAAATTCTCTTAAAAAATGGAAAGTCAAAAGGTTTTAGGTTTTGGATTTAAACATTGGATATTCAATTGGAATTTATTTGGTATTGAATTTAAGATATATTTATGAATGATTAAGTGAATATTAATGATTTTAAAATGCTTGAATTAATGACAATCATTGTATAATTGTATTTAATTAAGTGATTGATCAAATGATAGTCTATAACAATTATCACATGAGGAATTTTAAAGTTTTGATAATTAAACACCATACCAAAGTGTAGTGTGGAATTGGATTTTAGTTATAAAATGGAATTCAAGGATCTAAATATTGAGACTAAAATATGATTTAGGGTTTTGACTTCACACAAAAATGAGATAAATAAATGAACCCCCAACAGTTGTGATGAGTTTTAAAAGTAAATCACATGTGTGGCATTGATCAAAATGATTAACTAAATCCAAATGAATTAAATTGACAAATACTTGAAATGAAATGATCCAAAATAAATAGATTTAGCCATGTGGAATATCAAATTAAAAAATCATCCCTATTAGATAGGTTTAAGTTAGAAAGAACTTGAAAATGAGATATATCTAAGACAGGTAAAATTTAATTGAGTTTATAATTGTATCCTACCTTTACTTAACCATAAGAAAATAATAAAAAAGGATAAATCGATATTCATATGACCTTATCAAAAAAGTGGACAAAGAGATTCTAAAATATTTAATA